AAATGGTGATTTCAGGAAAACCAGATAAGAGAAAAGCCAACTTTAAAGCTTGTAAACTTTTTATTTGCATTTTAGAATGTATTTTGCAAATTTGTATTGCTGATTTTTTTTTTTAACAAAAATTGTTTTAGGTAATCCTTGAGCTTTCTTCTACTTGAAGAAAAATATTAAAAATTTTTTTGTAAAAATTTTGAAGTGAATGGTTACTTTATTTTAGTAGATACTGAAAATTTTACTAGAAGTTATAAAATTTTAGATAAATATGAGTTGGAAGTGGTGACTTTTTTGCTTTTTTCCAGCTTTCTGCTAAGCGAGAAACTAGTGGAGAAAAATCAAGACAATTACGAGATGCCCAACAGGATGCAAGAGATAAAATGGAGGTAAGATTATGGACAAGGTTTAGATTTATTGATTGATTGATTGATTGATTGATTGATTGATTGATTGATTGCAGTACTTGAACTTGAACCCAGGGGTATTCTACCACTGAGCTACATTTCAGTCCTTTTTGTTTCTTATTTTGAGACAAGTTATTAAGTTGTTCATACTGGCCTCAGATTTATAACCCTCTATTTCAGCCTCCCAAGTAGTTGGGTTTACAAGTATGTGCTACTATGCCTGGTTACTTAGATTTTTTTTTAACCACAAAAATTCTTTTGTACCAGAACTGTGGAATGGTAACCATAAGGGGAAATCACAGGAATTGAGAATTGGAAAGACAGGGTGATTCTAAAAGCATAAGTGAAAAAAAAAAGAATGGATAGAATTAACGGCATTATAGTTCTGCTGTTGTACTTCTGATTGCCTAACTCATTTGTTTGATACTTTTTGTATAGGATATTGAGCGTCAAGTTAGAGAGTTGAAAACAAAAATTTCAGCTATGAAAGAAGAAAAAGAACAGCTCAGTGCTGAAAGACAAGAGCAGATCAAGCAGAGGACTAAACTGGAGCTTAAAGCTAAGGATTTACAAGATGAATTAGCTGGCAATAGTGAACAAAGGGTAAGTCAAAATGTTAAAAATGAAAGACATGAATGTTCAGGTTAGTAAGAATTGTAGAAGATAGTTCTATGATGGGATTATATCCTTGAATGTTTTATAAAAGATTTGCCACATTATCAAGTAGCATATTATAAGTACTATCTTTTTTTTTTTTTATTTCAAAAAATTAGTCTTATGTTCCAGGATTGGTTTTCTTGTGAGCCCCCCGCCCCCAGAAAACATTTTATGCTAGATTTATAAAAGTTAAGCAAAATTTTTTAAACAAATTACATTTATACTTATCTTGCTTTATTTACAGAAACGTTTATTAAAAGAGAGGCAGAAATTGCTTGAAAAGATAGAAGAAAAGCAGAAAGAACTGGCAGAAACAGAACCTAAATTCAACAGCGTAAAAGAAAAAGAAGAGCGAGGAATTGCTAGGTTTGGAAATTTTTAGCAGCACTTAATTTTGTACCTAGTTTCTGTGTAAAATATACATTGCTATGGGTTAAGAGGGGATTAGCACAGTAATTAAGAGCAAAAGTTAACTGTTTTCCTGAAAGTAATAATAGCTAATGTTAAACAACTCCTTTGGGTCAAGTGTTATTGTACATACTGCCTACATTATTTCTACTCAAAAATGGTGTAACTGACTTTAATTCTACTTTAAATTCAGTGAACTTTGGGCTTT